TTCCATAGCTAACACACACAGCAAACGGAAAAGACCAAGGACACGATGGCGCTGAGAGGGCCTTTCTGCCCCAGTGTGATCCGACCTGGTGGGTGCTCTCAGAAATTTACTCAGTCATTCATTCCTTCACCTAACAAATACGTGAGTGCCCACCGAGAGCCGGGAACTGGAGTCGGCCCTGGGGGTAGAGATGTGTGCTGCAGGAGGTTGAGGAAGACAGAATGTGAGCTCGTCCCTAGGCAGACACAGAACCTAGTGTGGAGGTGGAGGTGACCACAGACTCCCACACGCGGGGGTGACCACAGGAGCAGGCCCACAGCCTCGGAAGCAAGGAAACGCTGAGCAAAGTAGCAGCTGCTCAGGCACAAACAGGAGCATGTACCAGCCAGGGGGTATATCAGGGGTCAGGGTATCCTGCCACACCCAGGATCTCTGGGAGGAGGAGGAGAGACGGGGTGGAGGGGGGGACCCAAACAGCTGACATGAGTGTGGGGGCCTCTTGCATTCCAGCAAGGCTTCACACTTGGTTCTGCAGGCACAGCGAGCCACTGAAAGACCTTAAGCAGGGAAACGGCAAGGAGATTTAGGGCAAGCACTCTGGGAGCTAGCAGCTTGGAGAGGACCAAAGGGAGGGGCTCGGCTGGGGCCTGCACTGGGGCAGTGGCCACAAGGACCAAGCAGAAGGAGACTCTCGGTCAGGGTGGAAGGGGTGGATGCTGGGGAGGAAGTCTGGGTTGCGGCCCAGCTGGCTGGTGAAGGACGCTGGAGAAGGGGGTTTGCAGAAACTTGCAGCCAAGGGTCTCACTCCCAGGGCCTCCCTGGGGGCTGGCCTTTCACCTATCCATGGGCAAATATGAAAACCTGGAGGCTCGTCAGTGAAGGAGAGGGTGGGGGAAACAGGCGCTCACTCTCTCCACTTGAGCACAAGCCGGCACAGCTTTAGGGCTGGAAATTTGGCATTATCTGTTAATTAAAAAAAAAAAAGATACTTATACAGTTTCCCTAGGCAATGTCTAGGATGATAGCCTTGTGCAATACTTTTACGGCCCTGCAAACACACACACACACAGGGATGTTTGTGATAACATTTTTTTTTTTTTTTCCTGAGGAGGACCAACCCTGAGCTAACATCCAATGCCAATCCGCCTCTTTTTTTGCTGAGGAAGACTGGCCCTGGGCTAACATCCATGCCCATCTTCCTCTATTTTATATAGGACACTGCCACAGCATGGCTTTAACAGGCAGTGCGTCGGTGCGCGCCCAGGATCCGAACCGATGAACCCCGGGCCGCCGCAGCAGAGTGCACGCACTTAACCGCTTGCGCCACCGGGCTGACCCCCGTGATAACATTTTTTAATTGTGCAAGAAATAGATGTTTTTAAAAGGAAACAATAAAATATTCACCATTAGCAGACCGGTTACATAAATTATGCCCATTAAGCCACTGAAAAGAGTGAGGGATCCAGAATCAGTGATTCTCAGATGTTAAGGTGCCGAGAATCATCCTGGGAGGCTGTGAAATGCAGGTTCTGGCTTGGGGGTCTGGGGAGGGCCTGCGACACTGCGTTTCTAACAGGCCTCCAGGGAACGCTGCCGCCAGGACCAGGATGACTGATGTGGAAAGAAACATAAGCTGTATCATCAACAGCAAAACAATATATCCAATTTTAGTGAAAAATAATCGTGATGCAGGTTAATATATGCATCAATGTCCAGAAGGATGTGTATTGCTGGAAGGAAGAGCTTGTGGTGGACTTCCCCTTTCTACACTACTTATATAACTATTTCAGTTTTTTATTCAGTGAGCATGAATTATTTTTCTATCAGAAAAAAACAATATTTTAAAATAATCAATCAATAAATTGATACATTGAAACAAAAAGTTTGTGAACCTGAGTGTTATGGACTGAATGTCTGTGTTCTCCCCAAATTCCTGTGTTGAATCCTAATCCCCTGGTGAGGTGTGAGGTGTGAGGATGTGGCGCTTTGGGAGGTGATGAGGTCGTGAGGATGGGGTTCCACTACACAGGATCAGTGCCCTTGTAAAAGGGACCCCAGAGAGTGCCCTCCCTCCTTGCACCGTGTGAGAACACAGCAAGAAGATGTCTATGAACCTGGAAGTGGGTCCTCACCAGGCACTGAATCTGCCAGTGCCTTGATCTGGGACTTCCAGCCTCCAGAACTGTGGGAAATAAATGTCTGTTGTGTAAACCACACAGTTTGTGATATTCTGTTACAGTAACCCGAACGGACTAAGACACTGAGTTCAAGGTTACACTTTAAATTGTATATTCTATTACTCTTAATAGATCATTCATGCTATTATTTTTAAAGAGCTGTCAGGCAAAGCCCCAACCAGCTATTTTTTCCAGGCTGGGGGACAGTGTCTGATGCAACAAGCTTCTGTCTGCCCATCAATTCTGACCCGCCCCAGCCAGTCCTGCAAGCAGCAGGGCAACCTTTTCAAAATGAAGATTTATTTAGGTCATTCTCCCACACCTTTATCCACTTCTCCACCTAAAACACTTCACTGGCTTCCCACTGCTCCCAGAATAAAAACAAAACGTAGCACAGGTCACCAGAGCTTTCACACCTGGCCCCTGCCCACCGCTCCAACCCCGTCTCTAGCACACACACATGCATATGTAGACACACACACACACACACACACAGCACACACCAGCACTCTGGCCCTGCTGCTTGCCAAGTGCCCTCTGTTGCACACCCACCAGCCCCTGTGTCATTAATGGACTGTTTCAGTTTGCGACCAGACGGTGAAGTCTCCTACTGCCCCACCCCCGGCCCCTCTTGCCAGGACCAGGGAAGCAGAACTTCCTCTGCACCACCTGCGGGAATGCCTGGGCCACGGGGCTGTAGCACTTTGCAGGCTCAGAGACGCAGAGCTCCTCCAAATGAGAAACAGCCAGGATAACTGCCAAAGGCCTCCTTCATTAGGATCTTGAGGTTGAAAAATACCCTCAAGATTTGCCCACATAAATCCCCTGCCAAGTCTTAGAAGTGGTGGCTTCAGAGCAAGAAACCTCCGTCCTGGGGAAGCCTGAGCCAGCACAGCATCCAGGGCTCAGAACGTGAGCAAGAGCAGAGGATTCGCGGAACCAGCTGATCAGGGAGGGCACTGGCATTCACGGAGTTGTTACTAGGGGCCAGACGGCTTCCTTGCACTTCGAAGAACGAATGAATCTAATTCATGTGGTTCCTGTTAAATGGGATAGTAGTCAGGGTGACTGGCTCATTCTCCCCAATTAGTATCAGGCAAATTATTGAATGAGAGTGAGACATAGGCTCCAGGGCCGCTGGAGAGACTTGGGGAGGGGGATGGTGCTGACTAGGAGCAGTGGGCTGGCAGCACTGGAGGTGGGGACGGCAGATGACAAGCTTTCTCCTGCCTGCCCCCGCCTCTCCCTCACGCGGCCTTGCACACTCATCCCCAGCCCCTCCGGGCGGGAAATCAGCCATCAGCCACAGCCCCACCGCCAGGGCACAGGACAGGAGGTACCTAGGAAGGAGAGGAGTGGGCTAGTGCCCTTGGCAACTCCGCCTCCTGCTTCTCACCCCGGACCCCCTGGACTGGGGGCTACAGCCAGGAGACCCTTCCTCCTCTGACACTTCTCTCCAGGAATTTAGGAGACAGTGATCCCAGCAGGTGGGCAATGCCTGGAGCTCCCCACATCCGAGCTTGCTTGTCAGGCATGGCTCACACCTCAGCCTTTGAAATACTCATTCCCAGACAGAGCAGTTAATACCCCAGGCAAACAAGCCCTCAGAGGTCGGTATCTGAGGAGCACAACAGCCCCAAAATACAGGTGACAAAGGGGGCAACTAGCAGCACCGGACACAGAGTTGGGGGGGAGACAGACCAGGAACCCAGAGCCTGGCAGAGCCACTTAGGGACAAGGGGACCAGTTTCAATATGAAACAAACAAAAAAAGTTACTTTTGGGACCAGCCTGGTGGCATAGCGGGTAAGTTCCCATGCTGCGCTTCAGGAACCCAGGATTCACGAGTTCAGATCTGGGACGTGGAGAGACGCTCTGCTTACCAAGCCATGCTGTGGCAGCATCCCATATAAAGTAGAGGAAGATGGGCACAGATGTTAGCCCAGGACCAATCTTCCTCAGCAAAAAAAAAGAGGAGGATTGGTAATGGATGTTGGCTCAGGGCTAATCTTCCTCACCAAAAAAAAAAAAAAAAAGAAGTTACTTTTTAAGATCTCAATTTTTATAACAGCCCTGTGAGATAGGCACTTTGATCAACCCATTTTGCAGATGGAGAAAGTGAGACTTAGTAAGGTTGAGCAAGATCACATGGCTGCTCAGCTGTGAGGGCAGGATCTGAACCCAAGCCCCAGACCACTGGCTGTTGACCACTCTGAGTTTTGAACTTCTGTGCAGTTGTCACTCCTGTGCTGCCTGAAGTTTCCTCTCCTCACCACTAAGGCGTGGGCGCTGTTTGCTTCTACCCCCACCTTTCCGTCTAACTCAATTAGTTTCCTAGTTCCGATTACCTAGTAACAATGTACCACAAACTGGGCAGCTTAAGAAAACGGTAATTTATAGTCTCCCTCCTGAGGCCAGAAGCTGGAAATCGAGGTGTGAGCGGGGGTGGTTCCTTCTGGGGCTCCAAGAGAGAATCTGTTCCAGGTGTCTCCCGTACCTTCCGATGGTTTTGGAATCCGCGGAGTTCTTGGCTTGCAGAGGCATCTTCCCATCTCTGCCTCCGATGTCACACGGCCTTCTCCTTGTGAGCCCAAATTTCCCTCTTAGAAGAACACCTGTGACTGGATTTGGGACCCACCCCAATCCAGACGACCTCCTCTTAGCTTGATTACATCTGCAAAGGCTCTGTTTCCAAACAAGGCCACATTCACAGTTTCCGGTGGACACGAATTTTGGGGGCACTAATTCATCCCCGTGGCACCTATCAACAGAGGAAAAAGTCGTGGAGCATCATCCCAGGAAACACAGGCAACCCTAACAAAGAATGAGGTGAGTCATTCCAGGCACACGGAGAGATCTGAGCCTGAGGTTGCGGGAAAAAAGCAAGTCTCAGAACAGTAAGCTGACTATGAAGTCTCCCTTGGAAAATACACACGGAAGACATCCCTTACGTTTCCCACATACGTACGCGTGTCAATGCGCACACGTCTGAACAGACTCAGGCCATACCGACAAGTACGGTTACTTTTGTGGCCGGTCGTTAAGAGGCCTCTTTACCATAACCTGTGAGGTTTTCATTTATTAGACGAGAACGCATTCGTGTACTCACGACAAAGTTCAAGTTCACACGCGTTCGGAGGGCAGGCACCCTTTGCCCCTGTGCGGTTCCCTGCGCTGCCGCCCTCCCGCCAGCAGGGGCGCCGCCTCACCCGCCCCGCGCAGCGCGCCGCTCTCGGCCCGGAAGTCCCGCCCCGGCCGGAAGCCGGGCGTCCGCGCATCCCGGAAGATGGCGGCGTCCAGGGGCACGGGAGTGCCGGGTCGCGGGGGCCGCCGCGGGCGCGTGGCCCCCAGGAGGCACGGGGGTGGCGGGGAGGGGGCCCTGAAGCGGCTGAGGCTAGCGGTGGAGGAGTTCGTGCAGGCCACCTCCGCGGGCGGGCCCCCCGGCGGCTGCGCGCGGCTCCGGGCGGAGGGGCGCGTGCGCCCGGGCGGGAGGAAGAGCCGCAGGGAGCTGAGGAAGGAGAAGCGACACCTGAGGAAGGCGCGCCGGCTGCGGAGGGCAGCGGGCCCCGCGCAGGGCCCAGGCCCGAGAGAAGACGGAGCCGGGGGAGCGATCCGGGGCGGTCCCCCCGGGGCGGACGGGGATGAGGGCGTCCGGGCGCCCCCACGGCGGACCCCACGGCCTCCCGAGCACCTGCGCCCTCGCCCCGCCCCG